TTTTTTTTAACCTTGCCCCACAAATGTCTGCTTATGCAAGAGAGTTGTGTGAAATAAGCAATCAAATAGAATATTTAGATTACTGGATGATATGTTTTGAAATCCCTTCTCTTTGTTCTTTACCCTCCTAGAACAAAAATCTGAAAATTTTATAAAAAGTACCTAGTTTTGCTTTTTTCCTGGTTTTATTGCATAAATAACTTCAAATGTTTTGTCTGCATGCATTTGTAGATATGTGACTTACCACAGTTACAGCATCATTCAAGAGAGATTCTCCAAAAACTAAGATGTACAGCTGCTCGTTGACATGAATATTTTCAAAGACAGCCAGCACAGCCACAGGATCCACAGCTGAAATCAAACTCCCAAAAAGCAGGCTCTGCAGTAGAGTGATGTCACTCAGACCAAAGGCCTCAATCTGGCAAATGGCAAAGAGGGAAATACCAATGCCAAAAGAATTCCAGAGTGTGCCCACAACAGCATACCAAAAAATGGTCCCAAAGTTCTCAAAGAAGAGGCGTGTTGGCATAAAATAACCAGCATCAAGGACAATTGGAGGAAGAAGATATAAGAAAAAAACATCGCTCTTCATCACTGGTGGAGATTTTTCCTGTACCCCAAATATAATTCCACCTAAAATCAGTCCAATCACAATAAGGAGACAACTTTCTGGAACTATCTGGGGCAATTTGTGGTAGAGATGAAAACCTTCAAATTAATGGAGAAAGAAAGAAAGAGAAGAAATATTATTTTGTGACAAAAACCCTTATGATATTTTACTTAAAATGTTAATTTTATTTATTTCTGTATGTAAAATATTCCCTCTCATGCATTTTTATAAGCTTACAATTAAACCCTCAAAAGAAAAAAGAAATCAGTTAACACACATAGTTTCATTTATTACAAGTGCCATAAAACCAAACAGTCAAACTATAAAATTTCTATGAGCAAAATCTGCAGGAAAAAACTAGCCTGTAAGACAATATTTATTCATTTTATTTATTATTTTATTATTATATTATATTACTGTATATTATATTACTGTATAGTATAGTATAGTATAGTATAGTATAGTATAGTATAGTATAGTATAGTATAGTATAGTATTGTATTGTATTGTATTGCATTGTATTGTATTGTATTGTATTATTATCCTGCCTTTATTATGTGGGAAGTCAGCCCCCCAGAGAAGGAAATATTAAAAGGGCAGAAAAATATATTTCCTCAAAGGATCTTAAAGAGTCAGAAAAGCATGCCCAGTTTTTTTCTTAATAGCCCCAAGTCTCCCTCCCCCAAGCAGAAACCAGATCTGTAGAAATGCAGATATAAACAATCCAGGAAGATGAGAGGCCCCCAGCTAGAAGCTTAGGAAGACAAAGACGCCTAAAATCTACATACCCCACCCAAACTCTAAGACAGGACAAAATAGGATTAACCCACAGATGCCAAAGGGACACAGGTCAAAGTACATGACACAGGAAATACAAAGCCTCAAACAGGAACAGAAATCAACTCCAAACAAAAGCCCAAGAGGGTATACATGTACTCTCTCTTCTTCCAGAGCCATCTTTCTGTCTGGCTCTCCTCTTCAATAAACTACAACCTTCTTCCTAAAGCAGTCGCCATGTTGTTTATTCCTGGCTTGGACTGAACCAGGATGAAGACTTTTCCTTCAACAATTATTTTTAGAAATAACCAGTTTGGAACTCATGAGATAACTTTATTTTTCAATACTTGATACCAAAGCTTTAAAACTGCTTAGATAAAATGATTAATTCAGACTTTAATTAATCTTGTAGTTTTGCAAAGGTTTCCTTAAAAGGGTGGTGCTTTAAGGTTTTTAGCTGAGATTTACAGCGTTTTGTAAGTATTAACATTAGATTAAAAATTCGATGAAATGGTTCATTCTTTGGAGAGAAAATTCTACATACTAGAGTTGCATACTAGCCTGAGAAGTTCAAAAAAGCATCCCAGAGAAAAGAAAAGGCATTTTTTGCAAAAAGCCTAGATGGATATTCCCATGAATTCATTTGGAGTCCTTTAGTGATTGGACCCTGAATCTGGGTCTATCTGCGTCTATGGAGATTCTCAGTAATC